AGCAGGCCACTCCACATGTCTCCAACGCAGACCTGTGGACCCTGCTGCCTTCCTGCACACATAAGCACTTCATCACAAGTATCGACCAAGCCCCCGGTACAGCCGCCATTTCAGACGAGTTCACAGACTTGGAACAGAGGCACGCTCCACTCAAGCTGCCACTTAAACACAATGCACCTGAGCATGAAAAATTGCGCCTGGCTGTTCACGAGGGCACAAAAGAGCCCACAGGGGAGAGAGAGCATCTAAGTGAGGCTGTGCCACTGAGCACTGTGATAAGAAGAAAGTGAAATGGTTACCTGGCTCTGAGGTAGGGAATGGAAGGAGCTACAGCAATCATCCAGGTGGGTCACAGTGGGTGATTTCTTTTAAAGCTTAGTGGACAGGGCCAGTCACAGAGCACATGGGGTAGAGAAGGCACCACATACTGATGAGATAGTGAGCAAACTGTCCGTTGCCCAAGTGGGCACTCTAGAGAGAGTGGGGTTAAAGGTGTACCCTATGAAATGGGAGGTCCTTGGGTCACTGGGGCATGATTACTTGCAAAGTCCATAGGGAGGTTTGTAGGCCATTGGCTCTAGGATCACAGCAGCACCAAGGGGTAAGCAGGAGCCATGCGTTGGGGGGAGGATGTTATGAATGAAATTGTGCCCTCCTCAAAATGTGTTATAAATTCTCTGTGCCTGTGGTTGCAATCCTATTTAATATGGCCTGTTGGTGTTATGTTAATGAGGCAAGATTAGTGTAAGGCATGTCCTGAGTCGATCTGTTTTAAGATCTAAAAGATCTTAAAAGAGATTAAATAAGTGATTAAGCAAGTGAACCAAAGAGAGGTGGGTTAAGACAGATTCCAAGACACTCGGAGAATTCCAAGGAACCACGATCAGAAGTTAAATAGACAAGGACCTTCTCGCAGAGCCTACGGAGCCTAGGAACTGTGACAAATAATTTCTTTGTGTTGAACCCATTCACTTATGGCATTACTCTTTTTTGTTTGTTTGTTTGTTGTTGTTGTTTTAATCATTTTATTAGGGGCTCATACAACTCGTATCACAATCCATACACACATCAATTGTGTAAAGCGCATTTTTTTTTTTCAGGTGGAATGTGCATTTTTTTTTTAAAACATTTTATTAGGGGCTCATACAACTGTTATCCCAATCCATACACACATCAATTGTGTAAAGCACATTTGTACATCGTTTCTCAAAACATTTTCTTTCCACTTAAACCCCCGACATTAGGTCCTCATTTTCCCCCTCCCTCCCCGCCACCCCCTCCCTCATAAGCCCTTGATAGTTTATAAATGGGTATTTTGTCATATCTTGCCCTGTCCGACGTCTCCCTTCACCCACTTTTTGGTTGTCTGTCCCCCAGGGAGGAGGTCACACACAGTTCTATGTAATCAGTTCCCTCTTTCCTACCCACTCTCCCTTTACCCTCCCTGTTTTGCCACTCACACCACTGGTCCTATAGGGCTCATCCGCCCTGGATTCCCTGTATTTTCAGTTCCAATCTATACCAGTGTACCTCCTCTGGTCTATGAAAGCACTAAGTAACTCAGATAAGAGGTTGGGTCCTGAGGAACTGATGCCCCTGGGACAGAAGGAGCCAGCAGGCTGAAGAATGGCCAAAGAAGGGAGTTGGTAGACAGCACAGGGCCAATGGAGAAAGGGAAGGAAGAAAGGAAGGGACAATGGAGGGGCCGCCCACCCTGCAGAACCAGACACTGACATAGCAGCCAAAGTCTCTGAACAGCCTTCCCGGGAGGGAAAGGGTTAGAGCGAGACTGGAGTGGGACGAAAGAGTGGCAAGTGAGGCAGTCGAGTGAGCAAGCAGAGAAACCAGCTTAAAGGCCAGCCTGTGACAGAGAGGAAAGAAAGGGGGTGGGGAATAGCTGAAGTAGGAGACAAGTTGAGGAATGTTTCTTGTTCTAAAGATGGTAGATAAGTGATACAAATAGCTACACCTCTTGAATCCTCCACACCAATCAAATGGGCCAGTTGGGCGGGTTTCCCCTGTGAAGAGAGCCTACTGAAATGGAAGCACAGGAAAGCCTCCTGCCTACAAGAAGCCTGCTGCGTGCCCCTCTGGGAAGCATGGACAACCTGGCCTGGGTATGAATTGACAGGGGAGAGGGACGGGTGATGAGTAGCAGAGGGAAGGCCATCAGAGGCAGATTCTCTACCCTCTCTGGAGCACATACTGAGTTTTGCCATCAAGCTTCCATCATCCTTTGCAGTCCTAAGAGTCAAAGGAGGAGTTTTCTAGGATGAAGGAATTTTCTGGAAGCAGATGTCTTGGTTGGAGGAATCCCTTTATATCTGGCCAGATAGCACAGTTAGGGTCAGTGTAATGACAGGAGCTGGGCAGAAACAGGAGAGGCTGTCCTGATACAATTTCCAGCATCTTAAAGCAATCTGAAGCTCTACTCCAGATCCCCCACCTGTCTGCGTGACTCATATTCAAACAGGGCAAGAATCACCACAACATCCCAACACGTTGCCACTCCTGGCCAGTTGCGTATCATAAGACCTCTTTACAGTGCCTGAGGTAGGTCCTGCCAGTCCATCCTAATTAAGTGCCCAATCCCAACCCCTGCATCTGTACCTCTTAGGTCACCTGGGGCCTTGAGTGTTTCCTTTGGGTTCTCAATCTCTGTTGTCAACACTCTACCAGGCTACCTTTCCCAAACCTATCTGCTGGATGTCCCAAAGCCCCACTCAAGCTCAGAAAAGGGAAAAGGAAAATTCTGAATTAATATGGAGCAGCCATATGGCTCCAGGCTAGCCTAGAACCCCTTTCTCTCAGCTCTTTCACTCACACTACCAGGGCAGACACCCAGGAAAAATGACAGTGTATCTTCCCCAGACTATTGCAGGTGACCAGTAGGGTCAGGGGCTCAGTCACTTCCGCCCGACCACAATGAGAAACCTCTTCTCCCTTTCTAACTTTAGATTCTGCCTGGAAGATGTTGCCAAGTAAATACAGTAGGGAGGTACAGGCAAGGCCACTGGCTCCTGGTCCTTAGAGTTACCATGGATAGGCACCCACCTGAACAGGCTATGCTTTGCATCTTACTCCCCTCCTTCAATGTGCCCCTAGCAGCCCTCACCAGGAGTCCCAGGGACCCTCTTCTTTGAAGTATCCCTACATCAGGATTCTTGGGAAGGGCAGTGAGTAATATTCAAAGCCTCCACACTCCAGCCCTACTTCCACAGCAACTTCACCTGACCGATTTAGCAAATTCAGCTTCTGTGAAACATGGAGCTTGCTAAAAGAGTTCTGAGTTTAAAATTCAAGGGTTAAAATTTTAATTTCAGTCCTGCCCATTCTCCCTAGCCATTTCATAGGTGGAGAAACTGAAGCTTGTCCAAGATCTCTCAGATTACAACGGAGTATCCTGGTCCTCTCCTCCTGAGAACTCAGAGGATGCACTGTTAAGTATGCTCCTCACCTGCTCTTCCCACCTCACACACTGCTCAAGTCAAACCCAGGCCCTGTAACTGACAAGGCTTGGGGTTTGGGGATGTGCAGAGAAATTGATGATGCCTCTCAAGCCTGCGCCCACAGGGACATTGCCCCTACTCACCCCTCAGCCCTGTGAGCACAAATGTTATATTTCATCTGGTAGTTCTCTCTTTCCCCTCCTCCTCCTCCGTGCCTCCACCTTCACTTTCTATGATACACACACACATACACAGCCACTCTGTGGGATGTTGTTCTATTGCTATAATTTGCCAGAGAAAACCAACGATGGTGGTTTGGGACACCCTTGGAAACACCTGTATGTGCTCTAAACCCGAGGCCAAATCAAAGAGAGCATAGCTTCTGGATTCTACCGAGGAAGTAATAAAGGAACTAGGAAGGAGTGTCAGTGTGTCAGGGTGTGGGGTGGTGCCCTTCATCCACTGCCCCACAGGCTCTGTTGTATGAATTACTAGATCCAAGGTTCTTCGGATCTGTTGTCAGAGACCAGTCCACAGAGAAGTATTTCATGCTTTGCAAAGCAGAGGGACAGAAGGGGAAAAAAAGGAAGACCCTTGACAAGATGGAGTGAAACACTGGCTGCAACAATGGTCTGAAACCTAACAACCATTGTGAGCCTGGCACAAGACCAGGAGGTGCTATTTGACCTAGGGTAGTGACCCCATGTACAGCACAGTGATGAGTCGGAACCGACTCAGCAACGCCTAACAACAGCAAGGCCTTGAAAACAAAAAGGCTGGAGCAGCAGAGGATTCCCGCCTGGCCCCGAGGCTGCCCAGCCCCAGCCCTCCTAGATCCTCCTGCTCTGAGCCTCTTCCTCCTGTCATGGGACGGTGTCCAGGGGCCCGGAAGCAATATGTCATTAGATATCAAAGTGGAAATACCTCAGAAAGCATGAAAACCCAAGGTGTCGTTCTACAGATGGGGAGATCGAATCTCAGGATGGCAGGTGCTGCTTCAATATAGGAATGGCAGGGAAGGGCCTGAGCCTAGGGGACAAGGCTGAGTTGGGCAAAACCGGGTTGAAAAGACTTTGCCCTGCCTGAGGGCCCCAGAAACCTTGAATGCCATCCTCTCTCCTCTGTGATGGGAGAAAGGCACCCCTGAGAAATGGTGAACCAGAGGGAGCTCACAGGTCGCAGCATAGCAAACCTAAAGCCTCAACTGGCACCTAAGGACAGACTACCTTTCTGTCACCAACCCATCAGCTCCGATTGCTCCAAATCCTGGACAGACATGCAGCAGGCCTGCCAGCTTATCCCTCCACGGCCAGAAGAGCAGGCACCTCCAGGAGAGTCCCTGCGCTCTCAGCCGCCCCCAGGCCCCTGTTTACCCATATGCCAAACCAACTACACTTGTCTGCAGTCCTTGCTCCAGGAGAAGGCAGAGGAGCAGCGATCCTTCAAATGACCCTAGTCCACGGTGTGAACTGGAACATCTCCCAAGCCCCTGGCCCCGTCTTCTCAAATACTGAGCTCATTTCTCAAGAAAATGTCCCCGCCAGGCCCAAAATGAAAACCAGCAATGGAAACTTCCCATCGCGTAGCGCTGGCTACTCAAGACTTGCCGTTCCCTCCCCCATCCCAGGCCTGCACCGCAGATGGGTGCGCCGGGTTCCACTCGCCTTTGCCCAGGGCGCCCGCGCCTTGCCCAGTCCGCAGGCTGGAGGCGGAGTTTTCACAACTCCGCCCATTAGGCTCCCCAACTCCAGCTCGTGCCCGGGCCCCGGCTCCGCTCACTGTCCACCCAGTTTACAGAGCAGACCGGATGGAGAGGGCTCAAACACCGCACCTACCTGGGACTGCGGCAGCGTTGTTCCCGCGGCCCCTCGTGCCTTCATAGGGCTCCAAGCAGCTGAAGGCTGGCGCTGGACCCGGCTCGGGCTCCGAGCCCGCCCGCCGCACCCGCCCACCTGCTCCGCCCTAGCGCTGCGCCAGCCGCCGGCAGAGCGGCTCCTCCGCAGCCTGCACAGGCACCGCTGGCGAACCAGCACCAGGCGGCCAGGGGCGGGGGCAGGGCGTCTGGAGTCTTTTAAAGTGGGTGGCCAACTCATGAAAAGATCCTCGGAGTCCAACCGCTGCCATTTGTTTCTCCCTTAAAAAACTCCAATTCGGTGGCATTCAAATGAGGTCCTGGGTAGAATCTTCCTCTTGCAGGCAAGAGACTCAGTTTGATTTCTCGCTGGAGCATCTCCTGAGCAGCCACAGCCCTTCCACCGCGTAGGTCGCCACCATCTATCCCTTCGTGGAGGTTTGAGTGTTATGAAGGTGAACAGCCTTCATTCAATGTGCTTCCAACCTGAGAAGAACTGGAGAGAAAGATTTGACATTCTGAAAACCAGACAGTGAAGTCCCTATAGATCATAACTGTAGTTTGGACAAGAATCATGGGAGCGGAGCGGCACGAGGCAACGCTTCCTTCTGCTGTTCATGAGTCGGAGACCTACTTCCCAGCAGTTAATAACAAGAACTACAAAAATGCACAATGTTGTGCAGCCATCACCACCGTCGCTATCATACCTAAGCGGAAACTCAGTACCCTGCAGGGGTCCTCAAACGATGGCCCATGGGCCCCATGCGGCCGGCTGAGGACATTTATCCGGCCTGCCGGGTGTTTTTGCCCCGTTTGTTTTTTAACCTCAAAATAAGATATGTGCAGTGTGCATAGGAATTTGTTCATAGTTTTTTTTTTAAGCTATAGCCCGGCCCTCCAACGGTCTGTGGGACAGTGACCTGGCCCCTCTTTAAAAAGTTTGAGGACCCCTGCTACGCTATAAGCTCTTGTCCTTAGGTGTGGAATGACGTTTCTGGTTCATAACAACCCTATGCACAAAAGAATGAAACACTGTCCAATCTTATCACACCCTCACAATTGTTATGTTTGAGCTCATTGATACAGCCATCATGTCAGCCCACCTCATAAAGGGACTTCCTTCTTTTGCTACCCTTCAACTTGACCATGCATGGTGTCCTTTTCCAGGGACTGGTCCCTCCTGATAGCACATCCAAATTCCATGAGAGAAAGTCAAGTAGTTCTTGCTTCTAAGGAGTATTCTGGCTGTATTTCTTCCACAGCAGATTTGTTTGGGCTTCTGGCAGTCTATGGTCCTTCCAATATTCTTCGCCAGCACCATAATTCAAATGCATCAATTGTTCAGAGTTCTTCCTTAGTAATTGTCCATCTTTCACATGCATATGGGGTCATGGAAAATACCATGACCTTAAAGATTGCAAAAATCTTGATATAGTTGAACTATTGAATTGTATGATAAGTGGATGAAGTGCCAAACTGTTTTTAAAAAGGGAAATACCATGCCCTAGTCCTCAAAGTCCCATCCCTGCCCTTCAATATTTTAAATAGGTCTTGTGCAGCAGATTTGCCTAAAGCAGTACATTGTTTGATTTCTTGACTGCTACTTTCATGAACATTGCTGTGTATCCAAGAAAAATGATTACCTTAACAACTTCAATCTTTTCTTCATTTATCATGATGTTATCTATTGGTCTAGCTGTGAGGATTTTGGTCTTCTTTACATTGAAGGCTGCAGTCCTTGATCTTTACCAGCAAATATTTCAAGTCCTCCTTGCTTTCAGTCAGCAAGGTTGTGTCATCTGCCCATTGCAGCTAGTTAAAAAGCACTCCTCCAACGCCGATGGCATGTTTTTCTTCATTTGGTCAAATAGTCCATCTGCTCATATTATTTGCTCAGCATGCAAATTGAATATGCATGATATAAGGATACAACCATGACATACACCTTCCTGATTTTAAACCAAGCAACATTCTCTTCTCCTATTTGAATGAAAGCTTCTTGGTACATGAACAGGTTGCACATGAGCACCTGAAATATTGAATAAAATGAGGCATTCAGAAATTCCCATTCTTCTCAATGTTTTACTTGCCTATGATAATAATGGTATTGTTTAATAATTTCCACATTCTGTTGGGCCACTTTTCTTTGGAATGGTATAATTATGGATCTCTTCCAGTTGGTTGACTGGTAGCATGTTATAATCCACACAATCTAATGGCTTTGAATAGTTAACATAATACAAGTAAAATTCTTTCTGGTATTCTCTGCTTTCAACCAAGATCCATCTGAAGTCAAATGATATCCCTTGTGCCACATCCTCTTCTGAATCCAGCTTGAATTTCTAGCAGTTACTTGTTGAGTACATTGTTGAATTATTTTCATCAATAGTTTACTTGAACATGATATTAATGATATTGCTCAATGTGTATCTCTTCCAGTTGTTGACTGGTAGATATTTTCCAAATTTCTAGGCATAGATATATTAGTGCTTCCAGTGCTTCATCAGCTGGTTGAAATCTTTCAATTGGTATTCCATCAATTCCTGGATCCTTATCTTTTGCTATTGGCTTCAGTACACTTGAACTTCTTCCATCAATTCCATTATTCTTGACAATATGCTATCTCTTGAAATGGTTGAACGGCAACTGGTACTTTTCGGGAGAGTGGTTTTATGTATTCCTTCCATCTTCAGGCTTCCTGCAGCTTTCAGTATTTCACCCATAGAACCTTCCACATCACAACTAAAGGACTGATTTTTTTTTCATTCAGTTCCTTCAGCTTAAGCTATGCTAAGTATATTCTTCCCTTTGGACTTTCTAACACTAGGTTTTTGCATATTTCACTTTAATAATTTACTTTGTCTTCTCACGCTGCCTTTGACATGGTCAATTGAGTTTTCATCACTTCTTCCCTTTGTTTTAGCTGCTTTCCAGTCAAGAGCAAGTTGCAGAGTCTTTCCTGATATCCACTTTGATCTTTTATATTTTCTTCTCTTTTTAATAATTGTTTTCTCTCTTCATGTATGATGTTCCCGATATCCCCTTTCGGCTCATCAAGTCTTCTGTTATTAGTGTTCAACGTGTCAAATCTGCTCTTCAGATGTTCTCAAAATTCATGTGGGAGTCATATTTAAGTTATTGTAGATTTGTTTTAATTTTTCTTCTTAATCATTTTATTGCGGGCTCTTACAACGCTTCTCACAATCCATAAATACATCCATTGTGTTCAGCACATTTGCACATTTGTTCCCTTCATCATTCTGAAAACATTTGCTTTCTACTTGAGCCCCTGGTATCAGCTCCTCATTTTTCCCCCTCCCTCCCCACTACCCCTCTCTCATGAACCCTTGAT